TGTCCTTTATCCCCACCTCCATCTCACTACTTCATAAATAAATACATACTTCTGATGTCGATAGCCCCTTCCACCCCTTCCCTACTAGGGTAGTGGGGAGGCTTACTGCTGTGGATCCACTACCCTAGTCCCCCCTCCACCCTCCACCCAAGTCAGGGCTGTGGAGGGCCTACTGCTGGGGATCCATTACCCCCGTTGCCCTTCCTCTGGACACATACAATAGGCTAGGAAGAGGGAGGCCAATGGCTGCAGATCCCCTGCCTGACATCTCCCTCATAAATTTTTTTCTTGTAATGTTCTTTTAGTTATGTCACTTTCTTCATCTGCTGGCCCTGCTGTGTCTCCCTGGCAGAGCAGGGCTGCTATTGTGACTATTGACCTGTTGCACACTTTGATACGTTTTTACTTGGACTTCAGTTTTTATTTGTGAAGCTTTAATTTGCACTACTGTATTTTATTTGCACTATCTATACTACAGTTTTTATTGCGCTTTTTATGATTATCTTCTGGGCTAGTGCAAACTTAAGGAGCTTTTATTCTTTTAGCCTTACCTGTTATGATAAAGTTGATGTATATTTCATCCAGTAGTCCTGATTGTACAATTATGTTATTCAAATCTGTGTCTTGCTGTACAGGGTTGTCTACTGTGTGTTTTGTTTGTATATGATGGTTGTATCTGCTATGCAGCTATGTTGCACTATGTGCCCAAAACAAATTTCCCATTTGGGACAATAAAGTTTATCTTATCTTATCATAATTGGGTATTTTTACATTGATTTATCATTAATTTTACTGGAGGATCTGAATGCTTCTTCCATCACCGCTTAAAAATATCATTTATAAAGTTATTTCAAGCATGCACACACAGCGGGTTCTTGGAGAAGTAAGTTGAGGCATGTGTACATAGCTCCCAACTGCAGGCAGTTCAGTCAGTTGTTATCCATTAGCTGCTGTTAAACAAGCCAGCAGTTCATATAAACTTTGATGATTTATTCGTAAAGCGCCAGATTTACCAAGAACGCCGCATCATTCACCGCCCCCACTTTGGTCCTGATATTAAAAATACAATTACCATATTTCATCACTTATGACAAGCCTTTGAAAGCGCTGATAAACCATGACTGCATTATTATTTCCGCTCTGACAAGCAGTCTAATATATTCTACAGCAGTGAATTTCATTTCATATGTCATGACACACTGCATTGCATTCCTGTGGCTCCAAACACAGCCTCAAAACTCAAGCAAGCTCTCGGTGTAATTCAATCACACATCTCGACGCCTGCTTTTAATCCACCGCTGTCACGAAACACACTCCAAGTTTTCTAATTTATGATGTGATCCCTCTGAAATGTACAAGCCAAATCCCAGTGTTATTCCCTCATAATGACCATTTTTTCATTGGCAAAGTTTGTGTGTACAGAACAATTTAAAACCTAAAAAGCCCACTAATTTGGGTCATGTAAAATAGCCAATATGGGTGCTGGGGGATTTTGAAATAATATTGTTCTTTGCTCACAGGATTAAAGCGTAGTCACAGCTTTGAATATAAACCATTTGCACATCTTAAAATGTAATTAGTCATTAAGATATTTTCTCCGTGTTGCTGTCTCAGCCTTTTGTATGAGGAGGCAGTCTGTTCTATCCTGATAGCGCCGTCATTATGAGAAAGAATACCGTTCTCATATATTCAACACTTTGATGTTTCGCATCACCACAACTGAAGTAGTTTAGCTGCAGGAGCATTTTCCTTTATTTACATGAAAACATATGGTGCTCCAATTATATTTTTTCATTGGTGTTTTTGTGCAGATAGAATTTCATGCCAAATTGAAAAGACGGATTTCTAATAAAATCACAATGCAAATTGCGCCATTTGTAAACTGTATCACGCTGCTGTGAATATTTTGGTTTGATCACAGGGAGTCAAGGATCACTCTGTGCTAAGGTACCAACTGGTCTTCATATCCCATTTTCAAACCCATGCTTCCTGTTTTTATTTCTGTTGAAACTCAATCTGCATCAATCCACACACACTCGAAAAAAGGAAACACATATGCACACCGACTGGCATGTCGTTGGCCAGAGACAGGGAGAGAGAGAAAGAAACAAGTGAACAATGAAGGCTGAGAAACATGTTAAGATTCATGCATGGAAAATACAAAATAGCTGTTAATTACGCTGCAGATCAAGAGCATAACTGACAGCTGATGGGACAGATTTAAGATGTCCTGGATAGTTAACTAACATTTCTAACCTCAGAGAAACTGAGTCCATGTTAACTGTCACTTAAGATTTCACAGCTGCCGCATAGTTTTGTCCTTTGCCCATGCCGCTAAGATATATTATCATCCTCTGGCATTAAAAAAAGAAAACTGGAATAATGTGTCCTCCATTCAGTCTTATGCCTCACAAATCATGTTCAGAAATCATTCCGAGGAATCGTGTTGACGTGAGGACCACTTCAACAACACGTGATGCTTCTTCACTCTGATTGTAACAATCAAGCAGCTACCTGAGCTCCAGGAGACTCTTAGAACAGCCTGCATTGTTACATGACGATGAGTTTGATCACAAGTCCAACACACGTGACATTAAAAATGTGATATACAGCACTGCTATTATTATACATGCAGCACTGAGTCATTTAAGTGATTGCATTCCAGCTGGGAGAACTGTTTCTGATAATGAGTATAAAGGATCTGACATACCATCTGGCAAAAGTGTTTTTTGGAAAAACATCACCACACAGGCATAATATTCAGGAATCATGAATATGTGAGTGACTTGATTTTGATAATATACTCGGGTTATAAACATAAATAAAGGACTTGAAACAGTAGGAGAGTGAAAATGTAAAATCCACAATATAAAAGTCTTCCATATAAAACAGACACAGTGGAGCTAAATGTTTGTGTCAATAATTGATTTTGTCCACCCAGCACAGTTCTAATCAATGTAATGTTCTCCCAAGGCTTGCTGTGTCAGATAACTGATGACTGACCTGCTTTCCTGAAACAAATTACAAACTCTTATTTATTATTAATCAACTGATTTCATTTAATCTCAGTCTTTGGGCTTCTGACGCATCGGGTTTAACATTGATCAAGTTTAAGAAATGAACCTGAAAGCATAACATATAAATGACGTCTGTTACATTCATGCCCTTACCAAACGAGTTCACACAATGCCTATTAAGCCTATCCCCTCCAGGGAAAGCTCTGTATTTTGCAGTTTACTAGAGTCTGTGGCGCGCTGGATGTGATGCGTTTTATATGGACCAGACAGAGCTAAAGGGGGCAGGAAGGGGGAAGAGACCATGGTGATGGAGCAGCAGTTTGGGGTATGGTGGAAGCAATGCAGTAAATCCTAAGAAGCGTCCATGAAAAGTTACTGAAATGGATGCCCCAGATCAGATAAAAAAATGTCAAAATGTCAACAAAAAAAAAAAAAAACACATTAAAATGAATCCAACGTTCAATCCAATGTTATTAGCAAAGATAACTCAGCATATTTGTATTAAAAAAATAATTAAAAGTTTTACAGTACAATACCGTATTGATCATAGGCTAATTGCAGGCGTGTGAACTAGCTAATGTCACTGTGTGGTATTTATCCATAAAGACAAGACAAACTAGCTTACATTTACAAACAGGACAATTAGTTGTATTATTCCAACTGTACACACATTCTTGTACGTCACACAGTTATTTGTTTTGTAATTTTTCAAGCAAGAGACTCTGATACAATGTCCACCACAGAAACCAGCAGCGAAAGTACAGGTGGTGAAGCTAATGCAGCTAGCCATGCTACAACTGATTCTGCTGACTTCACAGCTTCAGGCAAGCACAAACTGAGTTCAAGTGAAACTCAGTTGTATACATAGTACGGTGTCCCTGCTCTGTGTTTTGTGTCTTTGAGCTCAAGGGTTCTTGGCGTTAAAGACCCCTAAGGTAGTGGATTAAAGGGAAAAAGATCTGTCGACAGCCGGGACAAACGCAGAGCCCCATTGGTGTAGCTTTTTCTTATTGGAAAGCTATGAAAGAAGGGATTCAATCCTCGCTGCAAGTGAAACATAATGTCAGCTGGATGTCAGATGCAGTGTGTAAGCATTTTGTCATCCAATCCACACTAACTCTATCTTCCGTTGACATCATAGCTGTCCGTCAGCAGCTTCTGGAGCTGAGTGTACAGTGGCTGGCTAACCTGCCCCCAACGGCAACTAGCTAACTTATGTTGGGTAACAGGTTATGTTACCTGCTCAGGACTGGAACATCCATCCTGTGGGAGCCAACAAGTAGTATATTTTAGATTAATAGCAGCTCTGTCCTGCTCTATACACCCCACTAAATCCAGCCAAACTAGAGTTAGATGTTGTCACGTTCAGTTATTCCACATCCCAAACTTAAACATATATCTGACAGCTGTGTTTCAAGTATGCTTTTCTGTAGTAAGATTTAAAGCCATCCAAAGGTTGTATAATAATAATTTTGATTTGGACATTTTTACAGTACTGTACTGTATTATAATACCCGAGCTAACCAGTACATGTCAATAGATGATAATGCTTTTTCTTCTTTTCCATGTTTTCAAAATGGGTCATCAGCTGACTTTTTGGAGTGCCACATTATCATTGTAAACTGCATATGCTGCCGGTCTGAGAAAACGAAAATGGTAAGCTTGACAGGCATAGCAACAGTAACTAAGGGGTGCTGTGTTTAGGGAGCGCTCGATTTGATACCGCACGATCTCTTCTTTAGTAATTTGTCCACCAGACCGCTGATAAAACTGGTTTAATGAAACTATTTACATGTAAAGTCATTTTCAGCTCTTCCTTATTACCTGCCACTGAGACACTAAAAGCAGCGCGCTACTCAGAAAACTTGGCCTGCTCCGCTCTCAAGGCAGAGTTTAATGAGACTGACCTTTGAGGATGGAGAGCCCAGCCTCGTTCTCAGCATATAAATAGCGATGAACTCTGACCTAAAGATTCAGGATGCCATCTAAGCTTGTCAGCGCTTCCCTCCTCGTCTATGACTCACCCATCTTCAGGAGGCCCTCTATTCGTTTTGACACAATGACAACAGACTGAGCACATATAGTCGCTGAAGTCGGACTCCCAGGAGGTTTGTGGTGGCTTTTAGTTGTTTGCTGCAGCGGCAGATCAATGCAGCATGACTCTCAAGTTCACAGCACACCAGCTGTTTTTCTGTTTTGTATGAGATTTAACTTAACTACTCACTAAAAGGGAATATTGCATGTGTTGAAACTGAGCCAACATTAATGCATCCATTGCATAATCAAGTCATTGAAGTGGGTCTCATGTTCCTGTGCGTGTGTCAGTTTGCACATTGAATGATGAAGATCACAACCCTTGGACCATTCTGCCTGCAGGTCCCTTGCCGCTTGTTCAAATGTCTTGTGTTTGAAGTACAAGAAGATGAGTGTGTGCACTGCATAATATAAAAAATGTAAGAAAGGTGAGAGTTGTTTATGGATGTAGGAAAAAAACCCTCAAGGAAGATTTCACTCTGAAGTCAAAAGAACAAGTTATACACAAACACACTCCCCAAGGTATGTTGGGATTCATGATACTGTTATACTTATTGTCTCTTGCTCACCATCTCCAGGATATTTTATCATTTGTCTTACCTTACGCAATACAAAACTTTACTTACAAGCAAAAAAATGATAAAATGATATGACATTTATATGAATAAATGAAATATATATCTGTGAAAATATACGTTTGGCGACTGAGAACAAACATAATAAAAAGGCAAAATTATTAGTTCAAATCAATTAATATTGTGTCAAAAACACTGGCAATTTCTTTTAAAGTAAATGCCACACCTGTCTTTATACTTGTGCTTTTGGAATGAGGCTGTTTGTCACTCACAACTTATCAAATTAAGCTGCTAGGTCAGTGGCCCTTGATGCTCTATGGGGCCATAGTGAGTATGATGGGAGCAAGGGAGGAAATCAGGGGACATAGTTTAAAGAGCAACAAAAGTCCTTGCAGAGAAGAGGTAGGGGTGGATGGATGGGTCAAACAAACACAGGACTTTCCAGGAGACCACTGTTTGTGAAACCAAAACTAATCGTTCAGTTATTTTAAATTAGATACATGACTTGACTTACTAAACTCATGTCACATACCTACGTAAGCTTCTTAACTTACATTACAAACGTGATGTAACAAACATTAATTTTAACCCAAACCATTTTCGTTATTCTGAAAAGACACTGTATGCGTTTACCAAGTCGAAAGTGACACGTGTAAAACTGATGCTGGAGGAGTACAACAAGGGTTATCATTTTAATCATAGGACCACTGATCATGCTGCTGTGCTTGGCAGATGGGGGTGCTTGGCAGGTGGGGGTGAGAATATGTTGATTTTTCATAGTTTAGGCTTTATGCCTGGAAACTTTCAGCATTAATGTCACACCGTGATTTATAGTGCTCAACATTTGTGAAGAGTGTCACTCGAAAGAAATTCAAAAGCAGAGCGACAGTTTCTATTTATGCTTTGGTAAAAGGTTTCTGTCGCCTCCATAACCAGACCTCCTGCATTTTTTTATGGTCTGAGTCAGCACAATCTCAACAGACAGCTGTTTAAAATCACACAAATGTCCCACTGTTTATGTGTTTTTAACTTTTTAATCAAATATTTTTCATTGATTAATAAGCAAGCAGTCTGTCTGTGAGTCACAAAGATTCCCCTCACTTGCTGGTGGGCAAGGTAAAAAAAATAAAATAAAAATAACAATGAATCTATCAATACAAACACCATAGATTTCTTCCTGTAGAGCTAACATAAAAACTATTTGGCATTAAATGTCTGCTGTCAGTCAGCCTGGTGAAGTCAGTTTGACCGGCCTCTGTCCTCTCAGCTCTGCAGGAGCTGCTGCTGTCAGATGGCTGCTTCTGTGGACAGAGACGTTGAATGCAAGTCAAAGTCAGTGAAGATTGAAAATTATTATCTCAATGGCGACAATAGCAACACTACCCTAGTTGTTACTATTTCAGTCAAAATGTCTAAAGAGATAAAGGCCTATAGAACAATCCATACATGTGCGCAATCACGTGGCCCTTAAAGTGTTTGTGTCTGTTCATTTCTGAAAGATGGGAGTTTGTGAAGGAGAAACTTCTTGAATGGAACTCTGGCTGAGTTGCTCCCTTCCTTTGAAGGTATGTCAGCTAACATTAGATAGGTTTAAAATTAAAAAAAAAAAAAAGAAATATAAAATAATACAGTGTAGCTAGCTTTATACACAGAGTTTTAATGAATGTGCACAGACAGATTCACAAATGCATTTTATGATTTATGAATAAATGGCTTTCCGCAAAAACATTTAGCGTTAGATGTAAATGTAAAATTGATGCACACAAATATTTCTTGTTTTAAACAAATCCACAAATATATGTCTTTAAATGTATTTGCAATTTTCATCAACACACACAACACATTTGGATGTTTTATATACAGAATTTTGAACCTGCATTTACAAAACTGCCCATGTGTAAACTTAACTGCATTTGTGTTGGGTTTTATTACGACTCCCCTGCTGCGGCTCAATTCACATATGCATTTTTTTTTTTTCTAAAAGGGAATTATCCATAGCCTATCAGATATCTCTTTTATCATGATGTTTGTTCTCTCCTTGTGTTTAAATTCATAATTGCAGACCAGCAGTTGTAATGCCATGAGATTACATTACAGCATACCCTCCAGTGTGCACTCATGTGGTTGGCTGAAAAGGAAGGGGACATCTGATGGATACTGATAATTCCCTTTTGAAAAAAAAAATGCATTTGTGAATTGAGCCGCAGCAGGCGAGTCGTAATAAAACCCAACACAAATGCAGTGAGGTTTACACATGGGCTGTTTTGTAAAAGCAGGTTCAAAAGTCTGTATACACAAAAACCAACTGTGTTTTTGAAAAAATCTAAGAGAAATCTCCAAATATATGTATTTAAAAGAATTAGCAATTTTCATCAAAAAAGAAACATTTGTGTGTGCATCACAAATACACGTGTAAACCTTTTATTTATATGTGAATTTTTTTTACATTTATATTCAACATTATATACTTTTGATGACAGAGCTGTTTATATATAAATCATGAAATACATTTGCATATCCTTCTGTGAGCATTCATTAATACTGAATCTGATTCCATAAACAAGTACTGTCACTACTGGGAACAAATAAAGAGCATGCTTTATCTTGCAGATGATCTGATTGACAAGGAGCTTCTTTCTCCTGGATGGCGTCCCTGATACCTCTCATTGGACCACGGCTGAAATTTCAACATCACCTAAAAAAGTTGCTTGAGGTTCTCCTAAAATCATAGGTCTATAGGCTATCCTTAAATAAATTTTTCCCAAAGATGGTCATCAAAATAAGTGCTGTTTCTTGAATATTTTACATTGGCCTGCAAAGAAGGTAACTTGTACTTTGAGTTGTTTATTAAGCAGGTACTTTATTACTTTTACTTGAGTAAAGATTTTTAGTACTTTACTGACCACTACAAGCTGATATCATTTTTTCATCCCAGGGCTGACACATAGAGCCAGACAACCATTTATGCTCACATTCACACCTACTGGCAATTTAGAGTCACCAATTTAACTAACCTTTTGAGCCTTCTTTCTTTGGAGTGTGGGAGGAGGCCGTACTTGGAGAAAACCTATGCTGACATTGGGAGAGCATGCAAACTCCACACAGAGGGGCTCCCCCACCCTGGGTTCGAACCATGAACCCTCTTGGTGTGAAAACGGACTGAAGTCTGGAGTTTTACGTCATTACTTTCACATCAGTTCCCTTATTATTTTTAACATTTAAAGCAAATATCTGACAGTGGAATATTATATGATCTTCTGTTGTCAACTAACTGTGATGAAGTTCGGCCTGGTCTAATTATATATTTTCTAATAGGTGATGTAGAGGTAAAAATTGTCCGCAATCCTCCTGCATTGACCTGACCAATGCTCCAACAGATATATTGAAGTGACCTGTTTGTGTTAATAGCATACAGCACTGTGTTTCTTGTTAGACATGAATGGCTTTTCAGGGCATTTAAATAAACATTAGCCGGTGTCTGGACCATAATAAAGCAGCCATGGCTGGTGCAGAGATGTGTAGGTGTAGGCAGGCATGCTGACCTAAGAATCTTCTCTGTCTATATGACTCAGGGCAAAACAACAGATTTCCTTGCGTTTCTTCACTGCACACAGTGTGTAATTGAACTGGACAGCTGAGTGAGGAATGGACCTCTAGAGACCTACTAGCAGTAATCAGGAGGTGTCTGGTTCAGATCCCATGTGGAGTGGGGCAGAGTGGCCCAAAGTGAGAGCTATTATCTGACCTCTCTTCCGCAGATGCTCCTGAAAACGATGGCTGGAGGGGTGAAACTATCACTGTGGGTAAATGCACCATGCTGCTAGTAAAATAATGAATTTTCTCTCAGTGGTTGTGACAACTTTATGCACTGCTATTTGTCTGTGAGAGGTGACAAACAGGACAAGGAGCAGTTGTGTGGTTTTATGTTCTCCGGGACAAGAGGGGCACACCGTGGCGGTACTTAAAGACCACTGGAGGCAGTTTGATAGAAGAAGGCAGGCTGGAGTGTGATGTGAGGACACCTCTCAGCCACTAGTCTCTCTTTCTCTTTCTTTGTGTTTACATCTCAAGATGTTTTCCCTTTCTGCCTCTGTCTGTGCCCAAGTCGTCGCTTTCATTCTTGTCTCACAGACACAATGTTTCAAAGCCTGTCAGGAAGACAAGAAGACTGGGTGGTGATGGGGAAAGGGAGTGTTGAGAGGGTTTCCCTTAACATGCTGCAGATGCTGGATGTGGAAAAACCTCAGCTTCACACCAGCTCTCTTACTTTCAGGTTATTTAACTCAACTCATTTGAACTGAAGTCACCCTGAAGTTGAATATGAGTTCGTACACACTCACTCTATTACTTTATTTATTGATCCCGGCCTCATTTTGTAGTGTAAAAGAGTGCAACCTTTAAGCCAGGAAAGGATAACACCACATATATATTTAAATAAATTTTCACACAAATATTTTGAATTTAAAGAGTCAATAAAGCAATTTCTTTCCAGCCATTCTAATATTGCAGAGGCGATATTTACTTTATAGCATGAAAATGTAATTTGCCACAGTCACAGTGTCACAACAGGAGCCGTGCATCAATATTTGACCACAGACAGCTGCATTTTTTTGTCTGCTTGGCATTCTCTTTGATAGATGGAGAGGAGGGGAAAGTATTAACTGCAGAGACCTCAAGTTGTGACTCGCATAATGACATGAGCACATCTGACAAATATACACACACAGCTGGTTTATTAAGATTCATAAAGCGTACATATCTTCCCCATTTAAACTTTTGTGAAGTCTTGGTGGAGGTGAGTGAAGTGTGTGTGTGTGTGTGTGTGTGTGTGTGTGTGTGTGTGTGTGTGTGTGTGTGTATGTGTGTGTGAGTGAACCGAGTTTGGCTCTACTTGCAAGGTCCTGATGTCTTTATATCCTAATAGAAAAGCTGCTGGAGCTTTTCTCCATCCAGCCTCAGAGGGGAAACAGATCCAGATTTAGTGCAATCTCATGGCAAATTTGCATCAGTGAAATATGTGTAGTGAGTTTCTTGGTGTTGTATGCTGGATGTTGATGGTTGCCGAACTTGGTGATACTCATTGTTAGGATGGCCTTGCTGCGGCAGAACTTTAAAAGCAGGAGGCTTGAGGCAAAGCTGGTGCAGACCAACCAGGTGTTCACTTCACTTTACCCACAAATAACACATATTACCATGACAGTCATATTCTCCACAAAACATACTGTGGACCACTGGCAGCAGCAGCACTTGATGGAAACTGGCAACCTTATACATTTAACCACCAGTCTACCTCAACCCTTTCCATGGTAGAATAAAGTACCATAACACCCCTACACTAATTACCACCTAGTATCTCCTGGAATTTTTAAATTGGTGCTCACATACCCTGGGGACTCTTTAAGCCATAACAGAGGTGCATGACCTCAACACGAATATTACACATTATATTACTGCACAATCAAGAAACAGCTGAAACTACATTCAGTCCATCATCATTTTGGCAAAGCTTATACCACAATGAGCTCATTATGCTGAGGTAACCAAACTAGTCAACTGAGTTTGTTGACAGTCACGGCCTCAAATCAATCCCAGCTGAGAGGCAGCTACAGTCTCTACAAGACACACATCATTAATTCAAATCAATAACAACATTCAGACCTTGCCTTATTTCTTTACCGGTACTGGATAAAAACTGCTACAAAATACTAGTAATGAAGAGGACCTTCATTACACTAATGGTTCGGAAAGTTCGATATTTCAACAAAAAAGCTACACAAGTGTTACCCATTTGTAACACTTGTTTTTACAATGAAGTTTACATTTCAACTCATACTTAAGCAAGTTAATGCAAGTCTTCAAAATTAAAGCACACAGTTTGTCCACACCCTGCCAAACAATAGGCTATATAGGAGCATTTTCTCATCTGACACCACTGACAGGAAAGCATTTGTTTAACATACCAGCACAGAACGGTTCATATATCTGATGAATCAGCACTCCTACCAGTTAGGTTTAGCAAAAGAATCATGGTTGGGACATCGTCAGGTTACGTGCATTAACACAACCTGACGACCTAAAATAACGCTGACTTTTGGATTCACATGGGACACAAACAGCAGTTTCCTAGGTGAAAATCCTGTTTTTTGATTCGCCTGCCAAACTGATTTACACAGACTTTGTAGCTCTTTAACCCAATGGGCCCGAATGACGCATAGTGCGTCCAAATTCACACCTGTTCTTCTCTATCGATTTTCTCCGCGACTGTGCGTCACAGCGAGAAGCCACACATATCACGTGAAACAGCGGAATCGTAGCTTCCAATGCGTCCAATGTTTTCACAGCGAAAAAAATGATAAAGTTACACTAAAATGATGTATAACAGAGCTTTCATACAGCTTTGCACACACATTACTCTTAGATGGATTACTCGCGAATGCAGGCTCGCACAGAAATGCCACACATACTTGAAAGTGCAGGACCAGAGCTTTCCAGTGATACCACACGCATCATTGTGCTGTCATCCCATCATGCTATAAATACAGATTGATTGTCTACAAAATAAAAACCTGATGAATTTCTTTACAATCCATCTTGTTATCAGTCACTTCATATAGTGAGGAATATCGTATCTTACCACATCTTAGGCTTGCGTGTGTTTCTCCCTGATTATCCACGTTTGTAGTCTGGCTTTCAAGATGCAAATATCTCCATATTGTCCAGTTGACACTTGTCAAACTTTGTATGACAAGACCAGCGCACTTACCTTTGTGCACCCAAACAACTGCAGCCTAATTATGCATGCTGACAGGGCCGTAGTCACCATATACATTGAGGGGGACATGCCCCCCCCCAATGCCCAAAATGACCCCCCAGTATATAACTGAAACTGAAAAACCACAACAAACTTTGTTTACTGCAATCAAAGTGGCAAATATTATTTTGGAGGACATCATTGCATTTGGTTGACTATTTTTCTGTGATCTTAGATGTAAATATTGCATGTTTCCTTCAGATAAAACACATTTTTGACTTGTGAATGAGTCAATGGAATTTCTTGCAATAATGAAAAAATACTGGCAATCATGTCCGCCTGGCACAAACCACATGTTTTGGACAGCTGTGAAGTGACACAATGTCCTGCCATCATGGTTCTTATACTGCCAGATTCCATAGAGTCTCCCCTCTTTAGACTTACTATGGTGAGATAGATGTAAAAATGTAAGAAGTTAGTAACACGGATTTGTTTTTTTCATTGATATAAAAATTAATATAAAATACAGGCACATAGAAGGACATGGAATGATGGCAAATCTGGTTAGCCCAGATTGTCCTGAAAAAAAAAAACAAGATATAGCATGTGTATGTAGCCTTTATAATGACTGTGAAATGAGCTTAAAAGTAAAGGCAGTAAAAATACCCCAAAAACGCCTAGGGCCCATAGGGTTAAACCCTGTGACCTGACTTTCTCCTTTGCTCCCATCATAGCTTGCAGCAGGCTGTTCTCACCAACTGCTCTCCTACAAATAGTAATGCACCCAGATTCATACATATCCCATGCATGACCAGTGCACTGACAGGAGTAAACTAGGAAGTAGTCCCGAGTGGTCTTGTAAGGAGGAAGGAGGGTGATCGCACCTTTCTGGCTTGTGATTACATGGGTAATATACAAATTATAGTGCATTACTTTTCGTAAGTAAAAGTACAAACAGTAAATGAGA